ATTATCGGGAGCTGTACGGGCTATTGTGAATAGCCCGTACAGCACCCCCTCTGTTCTACTGAACCGAAGGGGTCCTGGGGCCGAAGCTAGCCGAAGGATCGGCCGAAGCTACGGCCAGATCCTTTGGCAGCTTCGTGAATAGACCCCAAAGACTACTTTGATAAAAAAAAAGGTTCTTGGTCTCAAAACAGCCTTGTCTTTATGTAATATAAATAGGATTCTTTACAGGACAACACTGATAACGCCTGAGGAAATCCTTCTAGCTGAAGTTATAGCCAAAAGAAAGGCTACAGTACAGGGAAGCCAAGGAAAGTCAAGTCCTGAATAGGCTCAAAAGGGGGTCTTTCTAACTTCAACAATTCAAGACTTAAATCCCACGTTTGGAGTGAGGGCCGAACAGTGGGACCAGCATGTGCAGCACCTTGAATGAAAGTACAGATCAGTATATTATTAGCAGAGGGACTTTGAAAAAGAATAGGCAGGGCAGACACCCAACCCCTGATGTTACTTAGGGCCAGGTGTTGTTCTACTCCCAACTGAAGGAATGGAAGAAGCCCACCGAAAAGGCACATGAGGATAGACCTCAGAGAGTCACACCAGTGAAATAATATTTTTCATGTTTGATAATAAATCTTGCCTGATGCAGATTTACAAGCTTTAAACATGGTAGGAATAAATGTCATTGGCTCTTAGAACCTGGGTTAGTTGCTGATAGAAGAAAATCTTCCAATTTAAGCAGGGGAAAAAAAACAGAAAGGAAAGAGACATCCATTCTCCTAAGGACACTAAGCTGACACTAAGCAGAACTGAGCAGGTGTGTGGTGGAAGAGGCTATAGCCTCAAGGTTGCTGGCCTTCAGTTGTCTATGAGCCTAATATCCATTTCTCATCATCAGGTTGTGCTCATCAATGGACAAGAGAGAAAACATATTGTACATTTATGGAGAACAAACAGAATACCCTGAACTAGATACTTTTCACTAATGACCAGCTAACATTATACAGAAGTTAAACATCTGTGTAACAGTGCAACACTGTTCTGTTACCTAGCAACCATATTTACATACATCAATAATTTGCACAGTTAGCAGCTGGAATTTACTAAAGAAGCAGAAGCTGTTCACTTAAAGGGTAAGTTCACTTCCTCACAAAATGCCCCCACCAGCTGGTGTATGTTCTGCACCAAGTACACCATACATCAGCCCTGCAATGAGCATTCAGCATAATGCTCGAAAATGGCAAGCGCTCACTAGTCTGTACCGTCACTCAACCACACTGACCAATAAGTAGACATGTAAGCCAGCAAAAAAATGGTTTCGTTCATTTTGTTTCATTACGGATGATTTTTTAGTTCTTTTTTCGGAATTTGGGTCTGAAAGTTAGTCAATTAGTTTTGGCATTTGGATGAATTCAAATTTAACTAATTTCGGATGAGTTAAATTATCATTACAAACTAAAATTAGTGGCACAAAAGTGACATTACTTACTTTGTTTCTTTAAATTTCTGACACAAAAACAAAACAGCATGGGACCCCCCCCCCCCCCCCCCCCCC